CAGGAGGGAACAGAAGCCCAGTGGATGTTTCCCGAGAGGTGCTTAGGGGCGGCTGTGGAATGCGGTGGCGACGGCATTCCGAGTTGCGGAGTAGAACGAGGGAGCGCATGGAAATGGAAGTCCAAAATAAATGAAAAGGAAATGGCTTGAAAACAGTCCAGATTAAGGATTGACACGCTGAGTCATCATCAGCCGTCCTTGTTAGGGCTGGACTGCCGCATTGGGTTGGAGCAAATTAGGGATTAAAGGACTGCCGCTTAAAAACAATCGCGTCGAGATTACACTGAGCTGCTGAGGAAACAACTTTGAAATTTGAGTGTGGGAGTACACACCACGTAGGGCCTGATTAACCGAGATCCCAAATAGCGACCGCTCATGGCGTGTTCACACTTAACGGATTGTGTGTGTTGTTGTTTTTCACCGTGGAAAATTTGGAAGAGCGTCTCAAGTGCAAAATGAAGTTAGAAGTGATGGAAGTGGAAGGGTTAGAGTGCGGGGGTCGGCAACCCGCGGCTCAAGAGCCGCATGCGTATAAGAAATAGAGTGGATGGACCATGAATACATTCCTCACCAAAGACGGTGGAGCCGTCTGAGCCGTTGCTGGACGAGTGGTACTCGGGGGCGTCGTAGGAGCTGAGGGTACTGCTGTCGATGGACTGCGAGATGTCGTGGAGCTCCTCCATGCCGCCAATGAAGTCGTCATCGGCGCATAGCGGGCTTCCCAGCATGGAGTCCTCCAGGGGCGAAGGCGGACGGTAGTGACTCTCAACGTCGACCATGGCCGCGTCGTGAGGGAGTGGCGCAGGGTCGGCCCGCGAGCTCACTCCTCAGGCTGGGAGAGACCAAGGACAAAAACAGTCAACATTCCGTCATGCACTTAACAAGGAGCAAAGTGGGTGAAATTGAAAGTGTATTTATGACATTTTTACTAGCGAAAGGGCTGTAGCCAAATACCGATAATCGGGCCTAATTTGAGCAGTTTGTTTTCGAGCCAAAACGCAATATCATCCTCCATACAAAAGCTCTTAGTAATTCGGGAGTCTAAATATGATTTAAGACGTGTTTGTAAGTTTATTGTACAAAAAAATAAATAAAAAAGTTCAAGGAATTAAAAGATGCGTGTCTGTTGTTGGAGTGAAATATTAGAATGATGCATACATCATATTGAAACTCTGTGAACAACTGCCGGTACTTTAAAATCTAAAAGTGATTCACAAAGCAACTTTTGGAAATTGCAACTAATGATTGAATCATAATGAATTGCTTGTGATGTTTATTTTTGGTTTTGTTTTTATGTACATTCGTAAACCACTAGCTTGGGCAAAAATGTTGCTTCCAAGAGTCAAACTCATTTTTGTCGCGGGCCACTTTGGAGTTATGTCTTCCCTTTGAGGGCTGTTACAAACAGTGAAACCGAATAAATGTTTAATCATCACATCATATTCTTGTACAAAGAAAAAATGATTACACTACTAGTTTTGAAATCAGTCAACCATATTTTGGTTTTCCTGTTCAATGATTGTTCGAGTGAGTGTGAACGCCCTAAAACTATTGCAAAATCTCAACGTTATTTATTACACATGACAATTTGACATTTTGGTTCAGATTTTAGCAGCGATCGTGGAAGTGGACACACTGGATTTGCTTTCGCGGGCCACATAAAATGATGTGGCGGGCCGGATCTGGCCCCCGGGCCTTGAGTT